GTGTTTAAATACAGCTGTAATTACAGGATTTGATCTGAAAAGGAAACAAGCAGGGAGGCAGATGATGTCAGCGAATGGAAGGCAGCTGAGCTGCTGAGTTGAAGGCCGGGGCAAAACGGGGAAGGGACCTGAGCAATGCACCAGAACAGGCCCCACCGACACAGAGGAACAGGAGGCACAGGGTGCCACGCACAGGACTCTGCAGCTTCCACGCTCACCTGTGACAGTGTCTGTGGTCAGGTGCTGGTGCTCAGTCCCACGGACCACTCATAGACTCCACACTCACACGTGATAGTGCACTCTGTGGTCAGGTGCTGGTGCTTGGTCCCACAGACCATTCATAGACTCCACACTCACCCGTGACAGTGCACTCTGTGGTCAGGTGCTGGTGCTTGGTCCCACAGACCATTCATAGACTCCATACTCACCCGTGACAGGGTACTCTGTGGCCAGCTGCTGATACTCGGTCCCACAGACCATTCATAGACTGGTAAAAGTTGCACATGAACCAATGCTGCTTTTCTGTGTCATAATGACATCATCCCTGTATCTGCCAACCACACAGGGCAAATATGTACTAGAAAAACACATGTGACAGCAGACCAGCCTGCCCGGCCTCCTGCTAGGCTTCTCCTGCTCAAGCTCCCTTAAGCACTGCAGCCACTCCAGGGAAGCTTTGTTGATTCAGCGCATCCATATGTGCAGACGCCGTGCTCACACGGGGTGGGGAATACCCAAAAATGCAAGAGTCACATTTTCTGCAAGCGGCTCAGCATTTGGCAAGGGTGCCCATGAATAAATCAATGTGAGACAGTTGTCAGAAAAGAGAGATGTACACAGTTCGATCACTATTCCAGCTGTCGAACCTACACCACTTTTATCTGTTGACTTGGGAGGCAGTTTTATGGCATCATTAGGAGCAAAAACTTAAGGTTTAAAGCTGCCTGGATTCTTAATCTGCCTCTCCTGGGAAATGTGCGCTGAGTCACTCCATGCTCCCTGTGTCTGTTTTCTATAAGGCAGAGGTAATAATAACAGGACTGTCTTCCATGTTGGAGGAATAAATGAAATCACGCACATAAGGCACTTAGCACTGTGCCAATAATGCTTGGAGCTGATGCCCACTCTCCCTTTGCTAGAGACTGAAGCATCTTGAAGGCAGAGAATTCCTAGGGCTTTTTGTCGTGGCCCTTTCTGTGCCCATCACATAGCAGGCACCTCACAATGGTCTGCTGCAAGATTGAATGCTAATGGGTAAGAATATGCATTTGAGAAATACCAAAGGCAATTCTCTTTCTTTACTCCTTTTGAACCTCACAATACCATGAAGGAGGCAGAGCCAGCAGTGGGATCTGCACCGTTCTGATGATGACACTGAACCTCAGAGAATGAGGGCATCTCACCCAAGGCCACACGGCTGGTCAGCAGTGACCAGCACTAGCATCCCAGCCTGTGAGCCCCATGCCTTCCAGCCTGGACCACAGCCACATCTGCGCCTATAGAGTCCTGGGCTGGCACAGCGCTGGGATAAACCACCTCACAGCCTGCACTAGGGTATTAAACACAGTTTCTAATTCTGACATCTTGGTGTTTCTCGATCACAAAATCCCATTAGCTCAACACGCCTACAAAATACTCGTATGTGAGACAAGATGTGGTTATTTTTAAACTGCATTTCAAACCGTTCTGTGTGGGGAGATGTATTTTTGGAGCACACTGACTTTAATTATGCACCTGTGACAGCGGAACCACACTGCATGTGGCACTGGCTCTGGAAGACACAAACCACAAAAGTGGACTGACCTCGTCCCCATTTCCCTGTGTCACCAGCAGGCAGCACAGCCCTGCTGACACCTCGATTTAGCCTGGTGAGCTTCCCATGGGGGACTGGGGCTGTATGTCGAAGCCCACAGACACACACTGCAAGTGACGCTGCCCTCTCTGGGGTTGACACCAGGTACCTGACTGGGGTCAGAGCCAGAGGCTAGGGATGGCGGGCCCAGATTTGGCTGTTAAAGCAGCGACTTCCCAGTCTAAGAGCAGGTACGGAGACTTTCCTGTGAGAAGGCATCAGGGTAAATAAGACACCACTGAAGAAAGAAAAACCCATGAAGACAACTCGCACTGATGTGATTCCCAAACACGGCCTCCTTTTCACCCCGACCACAGGCAGGGGAGTGTGCTCAGTCAACGCGTTCACCGAGGGGAGCCTGGCGTATGCCTGGGGTGGGCCTCCCATGGGTGAAGGACTACCTGAAGCCAGGAAGATGAAGTGAGGACAGCCTCGCCAGCTGCTCCCTGCTGGACACCCCATCCACAGCGAGGCTCCTGTGCAGCCCAGCAAAGGCAGGTCAGTGAATAAACACCATTTGCACCTGAGCCAGGTCTCCATGCATGTCATCGGTGCACCTCCCATGTTGCAGGTGCTATTCTGCACACCAGGGTCTGGGCAAGCAGGAGAAACAAGGCCACATCTAACATGGGGCTTACTCACAAGGAAGGGACAGATAAAACCCAAGGAAATAAGTAAATGAAGGTTCAGAGAGGGACCCAGTCACCCAGGGCCAACCTGGGACTTTCCTCATATGGTAAGTAGAAGCCACCAGAGCCTTTCAACAGAGGAAGGAGATGATCCAGGGAATGTTTTAAAATCAGAAGTCACCTAAGGTCACCACTCAAGGAACCCTGTGAGTGATCAGGACTCTCGTCTTTCTGATGAGGCAACTGAGCCTCAGAGACATGAGATCATTGTTCCAAAGGCCCCCAATCTAGAAATGTCAAGGCCAAGGTCTGCACTCAGCATGCCTGCCTACAACGTCTCATTGGCACATCCTGCTTGGCACTCTGCCGGTGGAATTCCCAACTGAAGGGACACAAACACCATGCCCCCCAACCTTCCCGTTCAACCCCAACACATTTAGGATTAACAGGACCTTTTAATTTTTTACCAAAAGCACAAATAAACATGGACACTTTCTCTTTTTCAAAAGATAATTTCAATTATAGTGAAAGCATGCAAAGCATCAGATGACATCTCCCCTGATGAATGCACAAAACAGGCTGCACACACCCTGCTTGGGCCTGACCGTTATTTCCTCAGAGGACTGGATCCCCTTCTAGGGTACTGGAGGCGCTGTGTGAACATGAACTTAGCTCTGGCTCAAGCTTTGAGGGCTCATGTGTTCATCCTCTCACAAAACATAAGAGATTTGTTTGCAGTTGACAGTTGTGCACATCCAAATATTTCTTAATAGTTATTATTCTTTTTTTACACGAGTATTTATAAACCAACCTTCGGATCTCATTAAAGTTAGTTCTACAAATGTTCTACCTGAATTCCTCTGAACTAAAAAGTGGCGGAGGTTAAACAGTTCGAAAGTCTGTTTGATGCGGTGCAGTCTGAGGGGTGGGGTTGGAGAAACAGCAAAGCTTGGAGTCAGAGCTTGGCTCAGATGTCCCCAGTCCCATGAGCTCCCTGGGAAGGAACCTTATCTGTTCGTACACAGTTCCCAGCACAGCAGCAGCCCCTTGCACATTTATACAGATTGTTGGGGGAGTGAGGGGTCCGCTCTGCCACTTGGAAGCCATTAGCTTTGAGTGCACCCTTGATGGCCCTCAGGACCATGGGCAAGGAACCTCCTCCTTCCCTAGACTAGAGATGGTGCATGTGCAAAGGGACTTGGAAACTACTCCCCACACAGAAGAGCTCTAGAAAGAAAACTAGAATACGGTGCCATTAGAGAGCCACACGGGATGGCAGAGATCAAGTGCTAAGCTGAGAAAGAACAGATCGGCAGGAGGTGGGGCAGGAAAAAAGGCCCTGGGGATGGGACGGCAGAATAACTCCCTACCCAAAGATGGCCACACTCTAACCTGCAGAACCTGCGCATATATTAGATTACACCGCAGAGAGGAATGAGGGTCACAGATGGAATGAAGGTTGCTTGAGGAAGGGAGATGATCCCAGGCTATGCAGGTGGGCCCAGTGTAATCTCAAGGATCCTCAAAAGGGGAACAAGAAATCAGAACAGAGAACCAGAGAGACGGTCACATGAAGACTCCATCTGCCTTTGCTGACTCTGAAGAAGGAAAGAGCCACTAGCAAGGAACAGGGCAACTTCTCAAGACTGACAAGGGGAAGAAAATTGATTCTCCCTACAGTCTCCAGAAAGGAGCACAGCCCTGTACACCTTGACTTAGCCCAGTGAGACGTCTGTCCTCCAGAACTGTAAGAGAATACATTTGTGGGAAGAGGCTACATTTATTTGTCACAATAGCAATAGGAATCTCACGCATGGATCAGGTGGGATTCATGTGAGTGGGGCATGGTTGGGCAGTAGAAGTTTCTGGTAGGGAAACCTGCTACAGAAAGGGTCTGGAGTCAAGAATTGCATGGCATGTAGAGTGTGCAGGGAGGAGCTCACTTTCCTGGAGCAAGACCTTGGACTGATGGGACTGACAGAGAGGGAGGCCTGACACTCTTGAGGCCCAAGTTAAGAAAGGCTCTTGAGCCTCCAAGAGGGAGACCATCCAGAATGTGCATGGCCCCAGGAGCCTGGGGCTTGACCTGGGGGAACGCAATGGAGGGAGCCACAGGAAAGCCTAGAAGATGTGTGTGTGGCACAGACAAGAAGCATTGGCAGGGAGGCAAGGGATGTGCCACGGCTCTGCCCCGCCATGCCCCAGGCATTCCACCTTCTCCTCCTGTCCTTTCCAGACCAACAGCATGTGGAAGAGAAGTGTTCAAAAGGCGGAAAAGGAACAACCTGGGTCCAGGTACTGGTGGTCTCACTTTTACTCACGACAGTCGTTGGAGAAGACATTGCCTCCCTGAGTCTCAGAGCTTTCACTGTAAAATTAGGATCATTCAGCAATATCCTTTCTTACTGTGAGAATTCAGGCTAATGCATTTTAAATCCTGGGCATTGCCTGACCCAAGCTCAAGGAACCAGAGCAATAAACAAGGCGGTCAAAATCCTTACAACCACAGGGCCAGGTACCTGGATGTTGAGTCTCCCTCGATGTGCGCCCAGGCCATAGCGCTTCACCGTGGAGGCATGGAGCTGGAAGTCTGTGATTTTTAAGGTTTCCAGACCAAGAGGTGGGCAACCTGGAAAGGACAATGCTTGTTAAAAACAAGGACAGATGCTGAAAGGGATGAGTTTCTTATTTTCTAAATCTGGCCGCGTGCTTTTCCATTTTCCCCTGAACTGCCACCCACAGGCATGCCCCGTCTTTCCAGACACGGTTGATTGAACTGTCAACATTAAGCCTATGTTCTTTCTTGTTGGCATTTGCTTTAGGGGTGTTTTTGCTCTGATATTCCTTCTTTTTTGCTGTCCATGCTACTGTCTGAGGCTGTTCCCAATTAAGGATCCTTCCCCAACGTGACTCAGTCAGGAAGCATCACTGGAGCTCTGCAAATTAATCAGAACCTGCTGATTTTGCTTCAGCAACTCTGGCCTTTATATTGTGCATGCTAATGAGCAGAGGAATATAAGCAGAAAAAAAAGTCTATTGTTTTCCATTCTCTGCAAAATGGATAATGTGGAGCACGACTAGTAAACACCATTTGCCCCTGGAATAAAACACCAGTGCTTGATCATCCCAGCCTAGCCCATTGTCTTTAAGAATGACAGTGTTTACAGCAGCATCCAGAATGGGTCTCCTGACCCCTGGGCTGCTGTTTGCCCCCACGCCCACCACAGTGAGTGGGGGAGCGTTTAGTGAAGGCAGAAGGGTGCACACAGTGAATGCGAAAGGCTATGCAGCGAGTGGGGGCCACACAATGAACTGGGGGGCCCCGCATTGAGGGCGTTTGTGCAGCAGGCATGCCAACCATCTGAGGCTGACCTCACAGAGGAAAACCTGGTTACCATGCCCCTTCCCTCCCCAGGGCCCTCACACCTTCCAGGCCTGAAGAACATGAATCTGACTCATGTGGTGGTATTTCCTGGGTCCCGCATGTTCATAGAGTCATTCTCCATCCTGCCTACTAGAAATGGACTTCAAGTGGCTGACCAGCAAGGTTAATCCTCACACTACATACTCAGAAATCCTCACTGCTGCGCCTCCAACAGCCCTGCCTCCTCACAGAACCTTCTCATGTTGTCCCAGCAGCCCCACCCTGCCCATCTCATGGTCTGGCACCTCCGTAGCTTGGCCCCTGAGCCCAGGTTATAATCCCACACCCCGTCACTCTCTGAGACAGCTGGGAGTCTGGGCCCGTGCCCTCCACTCTCACCTCAGGACAATGGGCCCTTTCTGTCAAATGCCACTCTCCTCTTGGAGTTCACAGTTCCCAGCGGTCACTGGTATCCACCAGAGGGCCTCGTCAGAATCCAGGGCAAGCTCTGAGAGTCAAGACCACAGACCCATTACACTCCTGTCCCTTCTGAGAGGCTGGACTCCAGGACATCCTGCAGCCTGGCCCCAGGAGCCTGGGCTCTGGCTCAAGCTCTTGGGTTCCCTGAGCTGGGGCTGCTGCCCCTCTGTGCCCCATTCTTATCCTCGTCTCCTGCTCACTCCTTGCTCTTTTCCCCATCACCTGGTCTCAGCCTGTCCTGCCTTAGACACAGTCAGCTTTCTCAGGAATAACCAGTCTGTCCTGAGAGACCCTGCCCACCAAGAGACCCCACCCACTGAGAGAGAGACCCCACCAACTGACTGTGACACCAAGCTGGCTAGGCAGCAGGTTCTATCAGGCGATTCCTGGTGGCCTGGGAATAGCCTCTATTTATCTTTACTCTGCCAGCTATGGTTTCAGGGTTCAAGGGACCTGGGGAGTTTCAGACTGTGATCGGGGGAACCAGGCACAGGTCCTGTCCCTCCACATCCTGGTGCTCAATACATGCCCACAACAGTCCCACATAACCAAGCACCAGAAACACCAAAAGGATCTGCTGTCATCTTACGAACCTATTTCACTGCCATGTTGAAAGTCTTCCCATCCACCAGCTTCTTCCTTGGTGGCAGAAGACACAGCAGGCAGTAAATTCTATGGACTTCCTTCAGCAAAGCCACCTGTATTTATGTCATTTATACAGTCAAAGTGAGAGACAGACAGATGGACAGATAGCCCACCAGATGGACAGGCAGACATATATAGATCATGTACCAGCTCAATAAAGCAACAATAATTGCTATTCAAAACATTTCTTCCAGAAAAAGACAACGACTCCTATGCATGTGAGTGTTTTAATTCAGAAAAGGAAGTACCTGACTAAAATTACATATCCATCAAAATTGCTTTTCTGTCAATAGACAGAAGCTCTGTCACATCCTCTTGCCAAGATACAGAAGGGGTGAAAAGAAAGTGCCCACAAGTCAGGTGTTTCATGGATGCACATCTAACAGCAACTGAAAAGTGCAATGCCTGCCCTCACACAGGCTGAGTTTCCCGCAGCCAGCAGTGCCGGCAGCTGTCACATCTAACAGCCACTCTTGTCCACTCCTGTGATGGTGTCATGGCGAAGCCAATAACTTCACTCCCTCCACCCACAGCACAGATGATGACTTTGTGGGAGGAGCCCAGATAAACACACACGAACTTGGTCTGCTCGCAAATGTGGTCTTACAGGAACCCAATGCTCTGACACTGGGATTTTTTGTCCTTATTAGCAGATGCTATTTTTAGAGCCATTAGTTTGCTTTGGAAGCCTTCTCCATTGCCCGTGCCACTTACAAAGAAGCTAGAGATTCCACACAGAGAACACACAAAGTCCTTGAAAGGCAAAGACAGCGTTCCTGATCCGCGTGGGTGAGCGACGGCCCTTTGGTTGTAAGAAACTAACCACAGCCAACTTAGACAGGAAGGGAAGTCCCTAGAGAAATGACAGGGATGGCAGAAAGTGAGAAGAACAGAGGCAGGACACAGGACACGTGCAGGTGGAAAGGCACAGAGCTCCCGTCATGTAGGCAGCAGAACAGTGGATTCCAATGGCACTGTCCACTTCCTATCACACCTCTGAGTTTCCCCTCAACCTCACGCATGCCTCCAGAGAGGGCCTGATTCACCTGGCCCCCTGGCTGCCCACTGGGATCAGGGTGCTGTTAGCAAAACAAGGGGATGCCAAATTCACAACCGACACGGGGCACGGGACAGGCATCTGCATCTGCACCTGCTGCCCAGAGCTGAGTGTGAACACAGCTCAAGCAGGCTCATTCAGCTTCTGAGTTATCGGTTCTTCCAACTGCCTCCTCCTACTGGCCAACCCCAAGAGGGGCAACACCTCCATCTCCGCTTCCTCTCTCCCTTCCTTTCCTGGGATTTTTGCTCCTGACTCCATTCATTCACAGTGGCCCTGGTCACTCTGTGGCCCTTTGGGACTCCTCAGCCTCTTCTCTGTTTCTTCTATACTGGGCCCCGCAGTCTCTCCCTCTCAGCCACTCCTCTACCCCCACACCACGCATGGCCCTGGTTTCCATCACACAATGTTCTGCTCTTTCTCTTCTTCTCTCTCAGTCCAGACCTTCCTTCCTTGTTTGGACTTTGCTTTCCACCTCCCCGAGGGCAGTCTTTCCCCTGCTGCGGCACAGGCTCAGCACCCTCAGACTGATTCCCTAAGAGAGCCCCTCCCCTTCCCTGTAACAATCCACCTTCTGAGCCCACACCTCAGCTATGAGGTGTCACAGGCACCGTCTACACCACTTGGCGTCCAATGACATGCACAAAGTTTATATTCAGGGCCGGGCGCAGTGGCTCACACCTGTAATATCAGCACTTTGGGAGGCCAAGGCAGGCGGATCACTTGAGGTCAGGATTTCGAGACCAGCCTGGCCAATATGGTGAAACCCCATCTCTACTAAAAATATAAAAGTTAGCCAGGTGTGGTGGCACATGCCTGTAATCCCAGCTACTTGGGAGGGTGAGGCAGGAGAATCGCTTCAACCTGGGAGGCGGAGGCTGCAGTGAGCTGAGATCATGCCACTGCACTCCAGCCTCGGCTACAGAGTGAGACACTGTCTCAAGAAAAAAAAAAAAAAAAAAACAAGTTTAAACTCAGACCACTTGCTTGTCTGGAGACCGGCCTATTGACGTAGCGGGCAGGCCTCAGAAACCTGGTGGCTCCCTTCAGGCAGGTATGAATGCGGCAGCTGGAGTAATCCGCCTGCAATCTGCAGCTGAAGCAAATACCCAGTCATCTTCCAAAGTCTGCTGCAAAAGAATCTCCTCAAGGTTGTCACCACTTCTTCCTCGGCACTCTGTCCCCTCACTTTTGTGTGGCAGAGGCCGCAGTATCAGTCAGGCACACAGCAGTAATGTCAGCTTCACTTGGAAGGTTCTCATTTCACCAATCTTCCATTCTTTATTTTTCCCTTTGATAGCCTCCTCTCCTTCCTTCCATCCCACATCTGCCTCACTCTGACTTCACCCTGTTTTCCATGAGCATCAGGGCAATTCACAAATGTTACTGCAACCCTGCCTAACGCAGGGCACCATGCCCCACAGCACGGCATCCTGCAGGCTCACATAAAACTACCCACTGAGCCAGATGGGAGTTACCCACCTTCACCAAACCCCATTTGAAAACATCTGTTAAGTTAAAAAGAAGTTTAAGAATAAAGCAGTCTAAGCACAAGCTCACTATCCCACATACCTTTATGCAAAGATCAACAAGGCAAAAATCCCGTATCAGAATAAAGCATCCCAGGAAAAATTCCCAAGCCCATCTTAAAGACTTATATTGAACATCTGACACAGGAATCTCCACATTTAGAAAAACGCAGGGTTTTCCTATGCTAAAGAACGGGAAAGTAAAGGACTAGAAAATAAAAGACAGGAAAACTATCTTTTGCTTTAAAGATTCTAAATTAATTCAAAATACAGAATATTGAAATATTCACCAAACTTAATACTTCACTCTGATGAATTTCAGAATATTTCAACCTGATTCATTGTTCTTCTTTTCTTTCTACCCTGAGAGCATCATCCTAGAGATTTCTTTCTTTCTTTTCTTTTCTTTTGAGACGGATTTTCACTCTTGTCACCCAGGCTGCAGTGCAATGGTGTGACTTTTGGCTCACCACAACCTCCGCCTCCCAGGTTCAAGCAATTCTCCTGCCTCAGCCCCCCAAGTAGCTGGGATTATAGGTACCCGCAACCATGCC